ATCAAATTTGCAAAAATTAAAATAAAGTAAATTATTTATTTAAAACAATAAAATAAGTAAAAAATCACTAAAAATAGGTGCAACGATTTAAACCAGCATATTTTTCATTTTCTTTATACATATTATTCTCTTTAATAATAGATAAACAAGTAAATTTATTACCTCCAAAGTTATTTTTTACAGAAGAAACTAATTAAGTTCACATTTATATTAAAACTATGATTAGTGCCAGTTGTAGGTAAATATCTTTTTTTTAGCATCGTACAACTGCCATCTTAATAAAAATCTAGTGACCTTTGAAATATACCTTATATAAATACACTTTTTACTACTTTTGTAAAATCTTTCACTATTTTAGCTACTAGTGAACTTTTGCAATATAGGTACCTTAATAATATACTCTTTCGTGCAATCGTTTAGTGTTTGAGATATTCCATATATGGTATCACACATGTTTAATTGTGTTACCTTGTAATATACTTACATTATTAATACCTACCTCTGTTTGTATGATTTCAAAAGCTTTTTAATAATAAATTTATACAATTTTTTATTTTGTTCTATTCAGATTTTTAATTTAATTTAATTTTTCAAAAAAGTAATTTTTCATAATTTCTCAACGTTAATCGTATTTATTAAACAAGCAAAATAAATTATAAAGAAGTACTTTTTAAAAATTTAAAATATATATTAAAATAAAATAAAATAAATATATAATAAATATCCTTGGACACACTGTATAATGCTGTAGAATGAATTCACATTATAACAACTATAAAACTTTTCAGAGCAACTTTCGGAGGAAGTACCGTAAAAGTGCTAGTGTGATGTTTTCCGAACTTCACTTTGTAACCTCTATGAGAAGTGCTATAAAAGTCTTGCCGTTGCGGACATTCGGTGGTTGCATGGATATTATAGTTACATTAAAAGTACATCGCATGCGAGCTTAAACAGCCTAAATATTGCAGCTTATTAACGTAGATGGGATGTTTTTGTGCTAACTGGGATTGCACTTAATTTTGTATTCGTACGTTTCCTACAACAACCGCAGGCTACTGCAAGGTGCAGGGTAACAAAAGTATGCTTAACCATGTCAAAAGCTTTGAAAAAGTCAGTATTCACAGAATCGATTTCTCAACCTTTTAATTAAAGTATATTTGCTCATCTCCCGAAATTAATGTTTTCAAATTTTAAATACACTTTGCTGAACTTCATTAATTCAAACCAAAACATTCAACTTTAACTGAAATGAAAACCATTAAACATTTAAATGTGTAATAGGCTTATAATTATATAAATATCTCGTAATAACCCTTTTCCGATTATTAGGACAAACCAAACAGAAAATCTGAAGACACCGAAAAGCCCTAATAATTAGATAATTATTCAATATAAAGCATTTCGGCTGAATATGAAAATACGTCACGTAAAAAGTTTAGGAGTGAACGTTGAAGCGGGCGTTCTTTCTCTTTTCCCGGCAAATTGTAAAAGTCCCAAGAACTTAACAAATTTTCAAAGTACGTGACCAGAAATCATTACGACCAAAGCCTCACCTAAATGAGAATTAGTTAACTCTATTTAATAATTTATCCAGGGCGGTTTGCCAGCAAGAGAGAGTGTGACAGAGATTCATGGAGTGTATACCATTCTTCCGGTTAGGTTCGGAACGAAGTTGCGGTAAATCGGGGTTCATCTCAAGTAACAATTTAATATTTTATAAAAGCTGAAAGAATGTTTACAAAACAAAATATTAGAAGAAGAATATTTTTGTAACATAATTTCAGCAGTAATAAATGTGGAGCAGACACGCAAATGCCGATAAATCCAGTTTTATTGATTTTGAGATATTGGTCAAAAACATATACAGCGGAATCCGCTAGGTATTTTTAAAAATTTATTAAAGGGTTTTGCTCTTTTTGATTTGTCTTTGATTGTCCCAAAATTTCGTGGTCGTTGTATTTTTTTGTGTTTTTATTTTTTTGGATTTATCGGTTTTTTGCTTGAAAAATAAGTTTTTGTGGCTTTATAAGAAAGGCGTGTTTAAAAATCTATTTAATTTTATTTTATCCTTATCAATATAGTGATAATAGAAATAGATAATATACACGATTAAATAGATATTTTATTCATAGCACAAAGCAAAACGGTGAATATGATATAACAAGAGAATACAGTTAACACAGAAAGAGTTTGGATAAAACGAAATATAAACAGCCACTTCCTCTTCCAGACAGTTGCATATACCTTCCGGTTTAACAATGGGATCCCTCTCTTCATCGGGTAATGTATTTCCATGAAGTAATGTCCGATACCATTGCAGATCCTTTGACTACTCCCAATTCAGACCAAATTGCTGATTTAGCAAATGCTGAAGAGATTTTTTTTCTTCTCTGGAATGTCCCGTTTGGTATCTTCTTCCACTGTTGTTAAATCTAGATCCGAAAACTTAGGTTTCAACAATTTTTCAAAATTTTCTGTTCCCGAGCAGTAGTAAAAGTTTTCAAATGCGCATATTTTAATCAACGTTCCATCGTTAAATTTTTGAAAAACTACTCTTTTAATTTCTGATAGCCCTTTAACATTTTTTAAACCCACTTGGAGTGTTTTTACATCAAAAAGTCTCCAGTCAATGCCTATTCTTTTTACTACTCCAACTTTTTCGTAAGTTTCTTCATAATGCTTTCTTGAAAGGATTGTAGCTTGTTTTCTTAGAAGTTTTTCCACTCGCCCAAATACTCTATCGGCTGGTAGAAAAGAAAATGACCCCTTATTAAAAAAACTATTTGTAATTTTGTTACTTTTATTGATGCTTTAAATCTAAGCCAGAAGTATAGAATGTGCAAAATATGATTATTTTTATTTTGTCTTCCGCATCCGTCGCAGAATAGACGAACTGTCGTGATATCGTCATAATTCAATGAGTCCAAATAAATTAAAAGTGCAGATCTTACCTCGATTGATCCTCTTCCTGCCATATCTTCCGTCCAAGTAAAAATAGTTGGTTTTTTGGATTGACTGTTCACCCAACAAAAAATATACATGCTAACGTGTTGCGCATAAAACGCATCGTTAATTGGGGTTTTAGGCAAAGGCTGAATTTGTTGAAGATCAAAGCAAAAAGTAATTGAATTGTTAGGTTTCTCTTTTAGCAGCCTATAAAAAGCATTAGCCCTCTTTTTGTGAATTGTAAGTTCGATTTGTAACCCCTTTTTCTTTTCTGTATCAACTTTTACTTTTGGTCAAGTATTTAAGCCTAGTACATTTTGCGCAAATATCGGTGGCTGGACTAGAATATTCTTTTAAACATAGAAAAGTTAACTTTATGCTCAACATTGCACTGACTTTGATACATGTTGTGCAATTTTTTTATGTTTAAGTTAGCATCTAAATAAATTCTTTTCGACTTTTCTCTATTACAGTGACTTTCCTTTCTTTTTAGGTTTCCAATAAATTCTTTAACTTTAACCCTTTCAGTCACCAATGTACATTTTTTGTTTTAAAATTCTGATATTTCGCAAACAAAATAATCTATTTTTCAAAGATTTTTGGTGAAAAATAAAATAAAAAAATTCTATCCCCACCCAAATGATTTAATGTCCACATCTGTGGACAATGTGACTTAATGACAATATTTTGTTATTTAATATATACTTTTTGAAGTGATCTATCGGGAATTACACATTTTGTATATCAGAGACTTCAGTCTCATGGCGTATAATTGGTAGAGTCTGATAAGTTATATTAGATTTTTAATTCAGTCGGGTTGCAAAAAACCATTTTTGTTATTTTATCCTCATTTTATTTCAAATCAGCTTCTTGATTTATTTCTTCGCTATTGAATTATCTAAATTGTCGGAGTCACCGTGTATATTTTTACTGAATTCAGCTATGATCTCCCGCCTCATCAGAAAAATCACCTAATACAGACTCGTCATCAGCTGGTAAAACATCACCAAAAAATTTTCATCGATTAGACCTCTTTTACTAAATCGAGATTTGTATTTCTTCCCCATAATTGATTGATTATGAATGCATATAAAATATTGATATATAAAAATCATGATGACGTTAAGTAACTTTGTCCACGTTTGAAGACATATAAATTTATATGCCAAATTTACATTTTCAGATACAAAATCTGTTTGAAGTATACTTAATATTGCGAAAAAATTTGGAAGCGTGTCCCTTGAACAAAATGAAGCAAATAAGTCTCTATGAACATATGTCCTACGCCTCTTAGATTTTGAAGTACAGGGTTGTAAAGTTATAAGAAAAAAACTTATTTTTTGCGATACATTAAATACCCCTGTAGATATTTTTCTGAAAATTGGTACGCAGTTTTAATGCATCTTAAGCCATTTTTGGATATACAATTTAAATTTTTACATTTGCCATTGGCGTTCATGCGGGCTTTGAACTGCATATTTCATAAAAAAAAAACGGTACGCCACTGGACATATGTTCATAGAAACTGTTTGCTTTATTTCGTCCAAGGGACAAGCCTCTGAATTTTTTCGCAATATTTAGAAAACACCCTGTATAATCGCATTTAGAATTATATTCTTTCCTAACAAATCAAGCACTTTTTCATGAAATAATAGTTATTATTTACTCAAAAATCTACTATTCAAATTCAAACATTTTGGTTACCATTTAACAAAACCAAAACGTCTGCTATTCATACAATGTCTAAACTTCTTTGTTTAAGCAGTAGACTGCTAAATGTCAACCATGATCTTTATGAATAATGCCATTTTGAGCCCATTGTAAAATATAAACCATATTACAGAAAATTGATAGGTATACGGTCGAATCAAAATGGTGTCCATAAATGTGGACACGGTTACTGAACGGGTTATGTTTTTTGCAACAGATTTAGGGGACACGTGATCTCCACCACGGTTTTCTTTTGGAATATTCCCTTCAGATAAAACCTACGCTATCTGATTAATTCGGTCTTTTTTTACATTAACACATTTAAGAAAAAAAGCCTGGCATGTCTAAATTTTATTCTTGTACACTCTTTTGGACAGAAAATAATGCACCGAAAAATTGCGACTTCTGGATTGTGCCCCCTTTGGAGGACTTTTTCTATCAATCGGTACTACTAACATGTAATGGCACAATTTAGTATCCTGATCCACTTTATTATTAGTGTCAAAAATTTTGCTTCGTAAATCACGTACATCATTTACTGCAATATTTTCACACCGATATGTAGGTCCTTTATAATCGCAAACCTTTTTAAAATTAATCAAATCCGTATCGTCATCTTTGTATCTAAAAAAACAAACAGAAAGTAAACAACTCGTTCCAAAAAAAGACGCTAATGTAAATTTTTACGTTAGCTTTTTTTGCATCGGCCGTCTTGTCTCATTTGTTTTGCGTTTTCTACTTCCTATGCTAATATCAGATACATTGGCTTCTCGTTTATCCATCGTAAACAATTCCAAATACAATATTAAAAACGAGCAACAGGTTAACTGCTAAAATGCCACTGCACTTCTAGAAAAAGTCAGCTGTTTCTCTGAATTTAAACAATAATATTCATACTAGTGCTCCTTTTATCTTTTAGTTTTTATTGAGAAATGGAAATAACTATTTTGTAAAAAAAGATAGCTGTAATTTTCTGGCCTCACGTTACCTTAGTAATCCGCATAGATGGCAGAAATTTAAAAATTTTTATCGGGTTTTGCCTGAAATTTGGAATTATCGTTATATGCATGAAATGGACAAATTAAGGTGCTTTTTTAATACGATGTATTAGATGCGCTAGATCGGTAAAGCGCACCAAAATTAGTAAAAGTCCAAAAAATGTAAAAAGTGGATTTATCGGCTTTTGCATGTTTGCTCCACAAATGCAAAATGGTCGCAGTATTAAAGAACTATTTTGTTTATTTGAAAACTGAATAGATGTCAAAAAAATACAAGACACAGGCAAACGGTGCAAGGTGAAAAACCCTAAATCAGTTTTTTTTTCATACACAATAAAGAGAAATGATTTACCTACTAATATCTTTGCATTAAAACGCAATTTTTTTTTTGTTATGATGGCATACCAACAATAGTTATTTTTGTATCTAGTGCGCGAAATGCTACTTTGGTGATCGAGAACCGAGGCGCAGCCGAGTTAAAAAAAATAGTCGAGATCACCAAAGTATTTCGCGCATGAGATGCAAACAAAATTTTTTCTACAAACGTCAAAAATATTATTCTAAAATAAGTAACATGCTTAGCTTAATATGAAAAATAGTATTGAACTGGCTTAAACTGTTTTTCCAAATCAAGTATTTACTGTAACTGAATCGGTCATTTGAGAAACAGCACATGTCATTTGTAGATAATTTTTCAAAAAATAAGAAAAACTGAAAATCTTAAAACATGGTTAAAAAAATACTTTTTAACACTTAGCGTTTAAAAGTTTCTTTATTTCGAGTATAATACAATAACTATTTAAGTAAAACAAAATATTGGTATCAAATCATGGTTGATTAAAAATGCGCGACATGTGATGTTTCTGAAATGAACATAAAAACTCAGTAAAAAGAGATATAGTTTTATTAAATAGTTATTCTACAATATATCAAAGAAGATAACGAAACAAAAAAAAACTATTTATTGTTCTCATCGTTTTCATTTTCAGTTGTAGGCCAATTTAATATTTCGTTATAAAAGTTATGGTGCTCTTCGGGAACCTATGAAAAAAGCCGCTTGATATCTGCGAGATTTTTAAAATGTATAGGAAATTTTTTTACTAAAAGCAGGAGTGAATAATTGGCAAGGAAAATGGATAAGCACAGGGTTAGGCAGCTGTAATAAATTGAAGGTCGCAATTTTATTCACAATTTTCATACTTAGGTTTACGTTTACATTGAAAACTAAACTTACGCAGAGAAAGATATGGGCTTAGTATGCATCAATGCATTTTTTATACAGTGTTTATTTTGTATTTGACATAGCCGTGCTTTTAGAGCCAACAGTGGTAACCACGATATCCCCGCAATTGCTACGCTTTCTCGTTTTGTGACCGACATTCGGTTCGGCTAATATCCCTAATTCTAGTCGACAATTGGCTAATGATCTATTGCCATTGTATTAACTTATATACTGCCCTCCTTAGCCAAAAAGCGGTATCTCACTTAAACCGAGTTTAAAGAAAAAATATTTTTCGAACGTTGTTTTCGCATTTCCTTGAGTCCAAAAAAATTATTTTTTTACCGCTGGATTACTTTAAATTATTGTTTGTTTTTGAATATTACATTTTTAGTTCTTGTATCATAAATGGATATGCAGCCATTTAGCTATCTGTCCAGAACTAGCACATAAATTACCGTTTAGGAATCTCGACAGTCACTGTTATTGATGTTCTAACGGTTAGGGCATATGTCCGGGGAACATGAATGTATAAAAATATTTGTTTTCACCTTTGGGGTTCAGGAGTGGTCTTAATAATTTGTAGGAGGATTGTCGAGATTGGTTTTCAAATTTTCAAATTATTCTACAATTTATTTTAGATATTTCTTACTTTTTGGATTTCGATTTCCGATTTACGATATAATAAATTCACAATTTTTATAATAACTTACCCGCTGTTTTCACCATGTTTTTTATTTGCCATTGGTGAATGGATGTTCCTTCCGAATTTTAGGACCCTTTGGCTGGTGACAGTGCTGCCTTAATCCCTTAATAGTATACTAACAACAGTAGCTAAAGACATATCAGTAGTTACAACTGGTCTTTAGGCTAGTTGGTTGTTACATTTAGTGACAAGTGGTGGTCTTTAGGCTTCTCGGTTGTTACTTTATCTTTATCGGTTGTAAGCAGGTAGGGTTAGGTTTGGCCCAGAACACTGCGGCCTCTTGGGTCTATTGTATCCCCCTCGGTTATTACAAAAACATCTACTTCTAATTTATCAACGACATTTTTATAACTTTATCCATAACTGTTTTCTATAGTTTTTTCTATGATTGTAGCTTTATTTAATTTCTGAATAAATTTAAATTTTGCACAGTGAATATTGTTTTTTTATTTAACTCTCCGTTAGGCGCGCAGGTTTTTGTAACGCGGTTAGTCGCGACGTATCGCCCAGATACATACATGTACGTATATGATGTGTTATTCATTTCAAATTTTAATAATTGACACCTAAATGAGTTTCTATAACATTGTACAAGCGATATTTACTTACCTGACAGTTATTAATAAAATAGTTGGCGCCAATTTGAACCGAAATCCAAACCATTGTAAGGTATTGTAATTACACTTTGGCGCCCTCGACGTTCTAGTTTCGGGCTCTTCTTGAGGACTATATTTTTTTGAGAAGGCTTGCAATTTGGGCACCAATTCGTAGTTGCTTTTCTACCAAAGTTAGAATCAGTTTTTTAAATATTCCTTTCGTGAGACGAATTCATTTTAATTCGCCAGAAAAATTATTCTAGAGTTGAGTTGCGCCACGTTTATGAGGTGGTAACAAATACCTTGTTGACTGATTAATATTGACAACGTTTGTCAACGACGTCTACGCCTCATTTTGTATCATTATAAAATAATATGACTTCCCGTTTCTTCTCGGGGTCGTTGGAAACTTTTTTTGAAGAAATGTGCATACATAAAAGCAACAGAATATTTGTTTACTTTGGATCCAGGCAAAATTTCATCGATTGTTACGTTTTGGCCGAGATGATAATGTTTTTGGCAATTTTGGATGAAAAGAGTAAACATTTTTCTTACTGAAGCCAATTTATATCGCCTTCACGTCGCGCTTATCTGGTATCTTTACTGTCAAAACCCAAACATTTTAACAAAAACATAAAGCATTTTTCCGACATTGTCATTTGAAAAATGCTTATTCCTAATCCGTCAGTGGCCCAGAAATCGTCAAGTCATTGATGACTTTCTCGAAATACCCCTGCCAAACACAATAATCAACTGACCTAGTTTTAACATTATCATCCAAAGAGAAGGGGTTTTTCGGTTTATCCTTCTAGGAAATGATTTAAGATATATTAAACTGGGAATATGCTGCATTTGGTAATCCTGCCGATGTCTATTTCCAAGAAAATTTTAAATAACGGAAGCATGTATCTACCAGATACATGCACGCCTAACGGAGGGTTGAGTATTGATATTTGGTAAATAACTCCTGGCTTGACCTTTAGTACACCAACTAAAGTTTGGAGAATCCATTGATATAGTAACCAGAGAATAAGTTATTTTAACTATTTTTGATATGCAAAAATAAGACCGTTAGGCATATCTTTTGCAATCACTAAAATGGGGAAAAAGCAGGTTCGGATTTACTTCTTACTTCTACTATTACTGGTTAAATAAATCCGAATATTTGAATTCGAAAAAATGTATTGCCCTTACATAAGGAAGTCAGCCAATATCAAAAGATTTTGGAGATTCATAAATATTTTTTATTAGAGAATGATTACTACATATTAAACGACTATTTCTGTTTTTATTCGGTGTCATCGGCATCAACTACGAGTATTAAGGTAAGTAGCTTCGTATCCTGCATAGACTTTGTCTATGCCATTTTAGGAAAAGCATGTAAAATAGAACACAACAGCCAATGATCGAGTGGGGATTCTTACCTATGCATTAAAATTAAATTTTAATTCAAATGATTAGAAAAAATCCCGTCGTCGTCAGGATTTGAATCCGGGATTCACTAACCATCCTCATTTTTGTTTATTTCATGCTAGCCATTCGGCCATTCCATATCATAGAGACGCGTTGGTTAAATCACTGTTGTAAACAAGACTTTTATTGGATATGCCGATGCCGGGTACGCTGATTGACCGATAACTGAATTTGGCTAAATTAATAATACAAACTAGTAATCGCAAGGGCAAATTAGCTTTCCGTACAGCGGTTACAATACAGTGTAATATACATGTAACTCAGGAATTGATAATAATTGTTGGGCAACAATATGCTTGAATACAAGCTCGTATGACACTAAATTGATTGATAACAACCCGTAGATGGTAATATTAGAACATCAGTGTGTATACGTTTGCTAAACAAAGAGGATTTAGTTTGATGGATAATATTAATTTCTGCTAACAGCTCTACTGTAAGGATAATGTTGCCTATTATTGTTCTTATTAAGTGCGAAAAATTATGATTGAGTTGCCTTAGAGCCCGAAATATTTTACAATGTTCAAAATATTAAACATTAGAAATATATACCAATTGTAAATTAAAAATGTATATTATAATCTGCCAAACACAATAAACATAATAATTTTAAATAGAAATTTAATCAAATAAAAATATAGAATATCTTCATCTATCTGTTGATGGTAAAAATAACACTTCAGTAAAACCACTTATAATAATTTTATGGTAAAATTAATTGTCACAACTCATCATTATTTTGTGGCAAAGAAATCAGATTTTAACATTTCAAAGAAAACAAATAATAATC